TTACCAAAATTTCAAGAAAATGAGATGTATATATAGCCCAAAAAATAACTTCCAATATTAAGTCGGAGTTGATAAAATAAAACACTGTTTTATTATTCCACTAATAAGTTAGAATTTAATTTAAAAAATTATGGTTTTTATGATTTCAATAAATCATCATGTAAATGTTTCAAGTAGGGTTGGGCATAATCCGGTTCGATTCTAATGAGAATCGAATCGGGCCCAAAATTTTCAACTATTTTGTAAGTGGAATTGTTGGTTCCAAATTTAATTATGTAACCGTTCCGGTTTGGTTCCATTCGCTTCAATTCCCAGTTTCTGTACTATAATTAATTTTTTATTATTTACAAAATTACATTAATTCTACTAATAACATGTTCAATTTTAACTCTTACAAAATAACATAATTCAATTTTATGTGTCATTTGCGTCTCTCTTTACTGAGATCTTCATAGTTTTAATTGTTAAAATCATAGAAAGAGAAAGATAATGAGCTCACAATAATCAAAAGAGGCGCCGTTGAACTTCAATTTTATTTCTCCAGAATGGAAGACATAACACCATAATAGAATAACAGATTTGGATAAAACTTAGATCAATTTGATTAAATTGGGCATAGATTGAAAATTAGAAATAAAAAAAAAATCATATTTTTGGGTTTGAGTTAAATTAACTATTTCGTAATTTTATTTAGAAAAAATAAAATAATTTAGCTCATTTAAAATAAATTAATTAAAAAATTAGGAAGTTTCGATTTTTATTCAATTTTTCGGTTCTTGATCTAGAACCGAGAATCGAACCGACGATTCTCGATTCAAATACCCGTTCAAGTACTAAATTTAAGAAGAATCACTCGGTTAGGTTCAGATCAGTTTGGTTCGGGTCTAGTTCGGTTCAATTTAGTTCGAGAGTTTTGCTCGACCATAATTTCAACTGCTATATATTATTGGTTAGTTTGATAAAAATAAAATAAAAACTAACATAATTAAAATAAATGAAAAATTATTGATAGGATGAAAGATTACAGGAAAGAAAAAAATCTTGCAAAAAACTCAAACTTGTTGATTCTCTCACAAAACGTCAAGAAATGGACACTATTTGAGAAAACATTTCAAAAAATTTATTATAATCAAAATCTACTAACTATCATGAGTCTTACAACATGTATTTAAAGCAGTAAATAAAATCTGGTTAATAACTAACTATAGATAACAATGAGAATTAGACAAATGCAAACTCTAAATGGAATTAAAACTCTAATTTAATTAAAATAAAAAAATTTATTTATAAAAAAAATAAATAGTAAAAAAATAAATAAAAAACTTGATTTCGAGACCCTAAATGATGAGCTTTGTTTGCTGAACTGTTTCCACTCAAAATAGACACAAATTTCTCCCAAAATAGACACTATAAAATTTTATTTCTCCTACTTTTTCATGAACTCTTCTTCGTTTTGTAGTGCATCAGAGTTCCATCCATAGTGACTATAAAATTCCCCAATATTTTTATTTAAAAGACTTCTGCTAAATTCAATGTGTAATTGGCAATTTCCTAAATCAAAATCAAGTCCTAGTTCATTTGTATTAGGAGTTTATTGAGTTATAATCAAAGTCAAAATAATTAAAGACTAGTAATATAAGTCATGAAGGAGTTCAAGATGTCAAAAATGTTCAAGAAGATCTAATATGATCAAGAGAATGCCATTAGAAGTCTAAATTGTGTCAAAGAGCACACAAGTTATGCTCCAAATTTTTAGTCACAACTTGCAACACATTTTTCAAGTAAAAGACTTTTGAATTTGGAGAATACTTGAAGAATTGTAGCCCTTCAAGTTATCTTTCTAACACAATTTGAATTAACTCAATTTGATATTGGGAGAGAGAGATGGTGAAAATAATAACAACTACTTAGTTGTCGCTCACCTAGCACTCGAGTAATGGGTCGACGTCCAGAATTCTCTTTTGCTTCATACACTATTTTTTCAATTCCTTTTCATCTTAAACACTTTTCCTATATATATCATTCCCTATGAACATCCCAAAGTGTGTTGAATCATAATTATTTCATAAAGATCATTCCTTTGAAGATCCAAATCACTTTAATTGATCTTATGATTCAACCACCATATTATTTGATTCATAGATTCATCCAAATTTAGATTTAGTGACCGAGTTATAAATATTCACATCTAACTACGGATTAAAACACAGAAGATTATTGATCAAACACCAAACATAAATTTGCCAATTCGTCTTCAAAGTTACTGGAGTTTTGGAAAAGGGCGCTAGGAGTTTCGGCATTGTAGAACGAGGTTCCATTGAAAGAACGAGGAATATTTTATTTAATCCACCAGAGATAAATGGATACCAGGGATTGGGAGTTGTTGCAGAAGCGCAAATTCGGGAGGATTAAGGTGACGTACTAGGAGTCGGGATCTGTTATCAAGAGCATGCAGTCCAGGAGGGCTAAAGTATAAACCAAGAGTCAAAAGTTGTTTTGAAGGAACACACCTCCAGCAGGATCAAGAGAGACTGCAGGAATTGAAGCCAAAAGTTCTATGGGGTAGATGGGTCTGATGGTACTATAAGTTGCTTTGATTTATAGTAGATTATTGGCTGGCAAAGTGCCTGAAATTTTTACCCAGTTGAGGTTTCTCCGTGATCATCTTTGGTGTTCTTTACTGCTTATTGATTGTTGCATTCAAATTATACGATAATTGAACTTGATTAACTAATGACTTAGAAACAATCGGAAGTGATTTGTTGCTTTTAATTGTGTAATTACGCACGTTTGGTCTAAATAAATCGACTAATTAGAACTTTCAAATTCCAAATGCGGTAAATAGTTTTCTTTTTCGATCTAGAAGTGGTTTCTGATCTTTTTCCTTGTGTATTTCATTTGAGGTTCACTTTATTGTCATTTTTATATAAATATTTGCATAAAAAATCAACTTTTAACACCCAATAAAAGTGGATTAGTGCTTTGTCACTTCGCCCTTATGTTTAGGATTAAAATTTAGATTTTAATTTTAATCAAAGTCAAAAATTAATTTTATAATTTCATAGGCCTCTCAACTTTTTGAATACACATTTCACCAACTTTTATTAAAATTCACTAAAAATCTGATTTTAATTCCCACAAAATAAAATCTTCACTTGCTGTATATTTTTACTTGTCATCAGAAAGTTATTTACAATATTTTTAGCAAGATATGATGATTGATGAGAATTTTCCGATTAATACATACAATTCAATATTTCTTAATTTCCATTTACATTATGAAATATTACACTACCTATCTCGTTTACTTTCTAAATTCCACAATTACCGTATCTTCATTTTTATTTAGTAAATTACTGTTTATTTTTATTAAAATACGCGCGCACACACAAAAACATAGATTTCGACGAGAGGGAGCACTGCACTTCAGTTCCAATCAATCGATCACCACCATTACTATTGGAGAAGGAAAAATCTCAGTGAAATCAAATGGGAAGAAATTGACGGGTGGGCAATTTTAAGCCCGTGCTGCCATGAATGAGCATAGTTTGCTTTTGGAACAGCTGAAGCCATTTACCTTGGAACATCCGTACACATGGTTATAAAAACTAGCCGTTGGACTAGTTTTCAATTATGATCTTTTTGTTGCTTTTCATAAAAATTCACAACTTTCATGAAAAGTTAGCACTAATTTGTGGATTTTGAATGGAAAACTATATATAAGTGATAATTTTTAACTACAAACATAAGAAATCAATCCTTAAAATCCTCTTTAAGTGCTTCTTTCCCCAATTCTTATACACATTCAATCTTTTCAATGCTCATCAAATTTTTGCAAGTAATCACAATTTCTTAAGTGTTTCCTTCTTAAATGCTTATTTAATCCACGAACCATTTTGTTGAATAATTTTAAGCACAACATTCTGGATGGAGTAAACATCGGTTGAGGACAAGGATTACTTGTTCAAGCCTATTGTTCCTACAATAAAGTTGGGATCTCTCCTTCTCCTATTTATCATTATTTTTCAACAATCTCAAATGAAATTTAGATGGAGAACGAGATAATATTGGCAACTATCAAAGTCATGAATCAAAATCTTATAATATGGCCTAATTTGATGGAACAATCTACTAGTAAGACAAATTGAATTTCCTACTAAAAGTGTTGAAGATCTTCTACAATCTTGATCCTACTAAAAGTGTTGAAGACCTTCTACATTTTTGATCCAAAGTTGGCACCACTTTCAAAACCCACAGATGGAGACTCGAATGCAGTACGGGCTGAAAAATAAAAATGCCAAAAACATGACTTAATTTGTCAGGGTCACATTCTCAATATACTTTCTAATAGGCTATATGATTTTTACTCCAACACCACATCCACAAGAGAGGTTTGGATTGCATTGGAGAGTAAATATAAAGCCGAGGAGGATTGTACAAAGAATTTCTTACTATCAAAATATTTCAATTTTAAAATTTCTTGACAATATTCCCCCACTTCTTTGAGTGCATGAATTGCAAGTACATATCAACAAATTGAAGACGGCCAAAACAAAAAATTTGAAATCTTTTCAAGTAAGAGCAATTATTATAAAACTCTCAGGGACTTGAAAAGGATATAGGAAGAAAATTCTCCATGGTTCCAAAGATTTCTTTAAAACAAATTCATAAACATCTTCAAAGTGAGAGTAAAAATCAAAGGCAATAGATAAGAGTGAGAACTCCTATGAAGACAATTGAAAAGTCAGTGTCGAGGAAAAGAACGAGTTGTCCAACACTTGAAACAAAAGGAAATCTTTTAACGATGACCACAAAATGTCTACAAAGAAGTGCAAAATAAACACAATTGATGAAAATGATGTTATAGCTACAGTGAGCAAAATCAATGCTATCA